GATGCCGGACAAATAAGTTTTGTAGAGTGTAAGCGATGCCCCTTACGGCGTTCGGTATGAATGGTTCTCGGTCCTTTGAAAGGGTGACGGATTATTCAAGAACTGTCATGGATCATCCAAGGTGTGGGTAGGGTTTTGTGGAGTCTTCGAATTTTGGATGCTATGTAGGGGTTCAGGGTTTGTCGGTTGTGCCGCAACGTCGTCTGCAGAGCAAGCAGAGCCGTGGAAAGAGTTTGGAAGCTTTTGGTGCTAAAGCTTTCCTCAAGACCTAGATCGGGTTTGCGTTTCGGGGTTTAAGTTGCCGGGCTTCGAAGTACCTCGGATCGAGAGTTTAGGAGGTTAGGGGTTTAGGGCTAAGGCTTGGGGGTCTAGGGTTCAGGGTTGAGCTTCAGGCAGCTCCTTCTTGCTGCTGCTGGGCGCTGCTCCCCAGGAGCGACCTGGTGTGCGACCCCCTTGTCGCTCGGGCACAGTGCGTGTTTCAGGTTCCGCTTTGCTAGCATCGGGCTTAATTCGAAGGTTGCCTAAGTTTTATTTGTCTTCTGTCGCTGCCTGCCAGCAGTTCTGAGCATTTACCCTGAGAAGAAACTTGCAGCATCTGGGAGCGGTGTGAAAGCCGATGTTGAGAGGGTAACTACAGTGTAACTACAGTGACTGCAGCTGGCCCAGAAGTATCTCAAATGCTCCAGTCCTTCGGGAGGTGAGGGTTTCAATCCCGAAAAAACCTTCTGAGCTCGAACACAACATGATGCATTAGCGCATGGAGGATTCCACGCAGAAGGGGCTCCAATATCGACTCCAGCGAAGACCCAACAACCTTTCATGCAAATTTCGTTATCAGCAGTCGATGGAGCCACTGCAGCATGTTACCCACCAGATCGTGGAGTTTGGGTTTAGGGTTATGAGCTTGGTGTTTTGGGATTTAGGTTTTGGGCTTGGGGTTTGGGATCTAGGGATTAGGGCTTAGGAATCGCCTGCAAGTTTAGCCAGGGGTTGATGTATCAGGAGCTACTGTTGCGGCTTCTACACAGCAAGTGCTCTTTCCATATGGCATAGGGTTTCGAGCATCGAAACCCAAACCCCAAACGCCCAACGCTGCACCCCAAACCCTTAACCTGACTGCGCCGGGCACGCGAGTTTCAGTGCTCGGGCTGAGGGTGGAAGCGCACATGGAATGCGCAACGAGTTGAAGGGGTTTTAGTGGGAGGAACTGCATAATTAGAGAAGTCTGCATAATTACCATTGCTATTCCGGTTTCTCGAGTTCCCTACTGCATTTGTAGAAGAACCCCCCAATCCTCGGTCTACCAAGTCACGAAGTGAGCGGATCAAGGCCGCCAAAAAGACCTCAGACCAACTGTTCAAGTAGGGCTTGGGGTTTAGGGTTTAGGGCTTAGGGTTGGAAAGGGCTTCTAAACGGTCTACATCCTAGCAATGGCCGCTGAAACAAGTTGGAGTCGGCAGCTGATACCTTGCTAACGGGCTCGCATGTAGGAATTGCGCGATATCCTGATTGCTGCCCTAAACCCTAAACCCTGCATCTTGCAGGTTCCTCTGACAACAACTAATCCCGGCTGCAAGCACCAGAAGTCATGATGTCCAGTATCTCCCTAGTTCTTAACTCATTTAAAGACAGAATATGTCCTCAAGACCTTGTTCGAGTTACATAGGCCTACAAAAAAACTCCCATAAAATTTCAGCACATTTTCTCGCCTTTCATCTTGTCTTACTTTAGATTCTCCAATTCTGCAAGTATGCCGGCCGCACGGAACGAAAAGCTGCCCAGTGGCAAAGACCAGAAATATGACACCCAGGAAGGGTCCAGCCCAAGAGATCGCTTGGTCCATAGCGCCGCAAAGGTAGCACTCACCTGGGGAGAGGCCAAGGACCGTGACCGGGGTTTGGGGTTTCGGGCATGGGGTGTTGGGCTATGGATTTCGGGTTCTGGCTTCAGAGAATCTGATTATCATGGCGACTACGCTCGGTGACATTCCAACATATTCCAACTGTTAAGGCTCTGCCATACAATCAATCTCCACATGCTGCAACAACAGCACTGTTACCAATCCTGTCCGCATCACCGAGAGATTCAAACCACTAAGGCCTCGGTACTTTCATGCTCCATCTTCACTTAAGCATAAATCCTAAACCTTTTCCATCCTAGGATTTCGAGACCGTAAACCCCAAACTTAATCATACATCCTAAGCCTTTTCCCTAAATCCTGATAAACTGATGAACCCTAGACCCACTGCCGCCTGGAGGCTTAGATGCGCAAAGGCATCGGCGTGGCATTGCCCGCACCGGACGGACGTGGGATCGCGAGATTCTTCGCAGCGGTTCGGATCTCGGAATCATGTTGCACTTTCGTAATTAGGGTTTGGGCTTTGGGGTTTCAGGTGCAATCTGAACTCCTTTGAAAACTAAGATGGCGTTCTTAGTGCTAGGGTCTGTTAGCAGCTCTACCTACGGAGTTCCTGGTGCACATCTCGTTGCGCAGAGGTTGAGGGTTTAGAAGGTTGAGGGTTTTATGGGTTTAGTGGATTCAGGGATTAGGGTTCGGACTTGCATCCGCATCACAGCTCCTGATGCTTATGCTTCCTACTAAGATTCCTAGATCCAATTGCAATGGGATGGTGACCCTAACCCCTAAACTCCCCTAAACCCTAAACCCCTAGGATCCCCCTGGGCGCCCTGCCCAGCGCATCTCCTGCGACAGTTCGGGGAGCGGAGAGAGGAAGTGGAGCTGCTTCAAGGCTTTAGGGTTTAGGGGTTTAGGGGTTCACGGGTTTACGGGCTTCAGGGGTTTAGGGGTTTAGGGTTTAAGGTTTAGGGTTTAGGGTTTAGGGGTTTAGGGGTTTAGGGTTTAGGGTTTAGGATTTAGGGTTTAGGGTTTAGGCAACAGCTGTGTGCACATCATGGAGCAAAGCTTTACATGAACTTGTTCTGAAGATCAGAACGGAAGCAGCCTTAATAGCCCCTACAATAGTCCCGTATCTAATCCCCCATATGAACCCCTTCAAGGAGTTTAGACTATAGCTCATATGATTGCTTGCGCGACAGTCATTCTGAGCTCAACATCTCAAACTCTGCCAGCCATGGCGAAGAATCTTGGGTGTAATCCCCTCCCCTTCTGTTTCATTCTCCTTGTAGTTGCCATTGCAGTCTGGAGGGAACATTAAATGTGAAAAGGGGTGGGTGGGGGGTTCTAATAGTAGGAGGACGGGATTATATGTTTGCTTGATAAGACCTGAGTATACAAACATGTATCAGCAAACCACAATCCCTTCCCGACCTTGAAGGCATGCGCGGGACGGAAAGCAAGGCCAAAAGATGAGCCTCGCAAAGCTTCCAGTTTGAAAGTGGAACTGATAAGTCGCAATCAAAATGCTAGCCGATAATGACCGTCATGACAGACAACGACGACTGGTAGTGGAAGTGCTGTTTCGTCTGGCCAGCCATGGGCATAGCGATGTTCAAGAGCTTGGGCCAACAATCATAAAGATTGGCCTGTCCGGTGTCCAGTACGCAGATGCGGAGTATGGCAGGATCGGCCCACCCTCACCTGAGCCATCTGATCTAAAGTCCCGATATTCCACTCCAGTAAGCCCCTAAACCCTAAACCGGAACGCCATATAATGAACCATAGAGCCCCTCATTGAAGAGTTTAGAGCTTAGCTCACCTCGTGCCATAGCCACCATCTGAGCAGCAGCTTGCTCTTCAGATTGCATGCACACTAGGATAGACCAAATTCCTGGTGCGATCTGGTGAGACTAAGTTGCAAATGGCCCCGGCTGGACAGGCCCGACAAACGCGATGGTTGCTAGCGAGCTCCCAATCCTAGGCGTTGGGCCAAGTGTCACGGCTTTCAACAAAGTAGCTTGAAACTTCAAACCCACGTCCCGCAGAGGAAAGATCAACAGCTAGGCCCGCTAGGCCCAACACCCTGGACCCAAGGTGAGAAAGCACCACAGCCCAAATTTGTGATACTTGCGCTGACCAAGCAGCGGCCCCGCTGTTGGTGCGGAAGTAGCCAGGCATACAGTCGCATGAGCTTATGCTGGTAGCACCCGTGATGTTGGTTGTCTCATGTTCTGGACACACCGTGCACGCACCTGGCTTGCAGAAGGGAGTGTCGTTGGTATGTCTGTGCGCAACTCCACTTGCTTCTGCCTGAAGGAATGACCTCTGCCTCAAACTAGCCGGTCACCCGGTCACCCACCTCACCAGGAAAACTCGGAACCAAAGTAAAGGCGCCTGCACCAAAAAGACCCATGTAGAAGCCGATCTCACACGTGTTGCACGCCAATGCTGGGCCCACACCACCTGGAGGCCACTTCAGCTTACTTCATACAACAACATCGCACAAGAGACGCTGTGTCTAATGTAAGGGCCTGAATGATTAGAATAGTTTTTGGGGGTCTAGTAGACTATAACTATAATAAGGAGCCCCTAAACCCTACTCTAATCACTATAGCCCCTACATTACCAGGTTTTGGCAGGACCTGCTCTTTGGCACCAAGCTGCTTTTAAACGTGCCCGGGACGCATTGGATGCAATCGGTGCCTCAGGAGGATTTCCACAATTCACGCAGCTCGCACGTTTGGCCCTACGGCTGCTGATCTAAATCCTGCATTACCCATAATAAGGAATATAGCATAGTTCCCATAGTTTAGGGTCCTTAAGGTAGTGCAGGATCTATATCATCAACCGTACTACTGGCTAATCGAAGGGCGTATTGCTGAAGTGAAGCCCGCAGACCTCGCCGTATGTACCAGAGCTTTGGGGCTTTGGTATGGCCGAAAACGGACCCCAAGATGCTGGACGGTCGCGCAAGAAAAAAGCTACCCCTGATATTTTGGAACTCTACACCCTAAACTTAAACGCTAAACCCTAAACCCTAAACTTAACCCCAAACCCTAAACCCTAAACTTAAACCCCTAAGCCCCTAAACCCTAAACTTAAACCCCAAACCCTAAAGCCTAAACCCCTGCGTCCAAGCTACCCGTGTAGCTGCTTCGCCTTTCCCCGGCGGGGCGAGGCTTCAGTCGGACGGCTTGCCATTCCCTTCGCGGTGTAGGGTTTAGGGTTTTAGGGTTCCCTATAACGTGTGAAAATGGTAGGGATATGGAGTACATAACATTGTGACATGTTAGTTTGTGCTCCTTGCCGAGAACCCAGGAGTAAAATCCGATTCGGTTCTCGGTGTGTTGGCAGAGTGACTGCTTTTGGGCAAACCCAACTCCGACACTCTCGCAACCTTGGTCTTCCCAACGAGTATAGAAGCCTGGATCGTTTCTAGCTTTTGACGATAAGGTTCCTTAAACTATCATTAGACTAGACTGTGCTCCAAAAACCCCGAGGCTACTCGACCAAGTGCTTCTGCACCCTGCGGCCAGCCGGGGAACAGTACAGCTGACTTCGAGCTTATGTGTTGGGGCCAAGGCTTGCAGGGTTAAAGTTGAATGGTAATGGGTTGGGCTCTTGGGGCATTTTGAGGCTTTCTACTGGTCACACCGTCGACATCCCAACAAAAGCGTACAAAACCTACAGCACACCTACTACAAAAAACTCTACAAGAAACCTGCAACAACTCCACCCAAACACCTACCAAAGCGCATCTGCTTGCCGCGTAAATTCAGAGCGCACCTCCGCAGGCTCAAGGTGGCCATCGGAGGCTCGATCTGCAGTTAAGGGTTCAGGTTATGGTTTAGGCTTTGCGCGTTTCAGGGTTCAGGGTTTCGGGCTTAGGGTTAAATTAAAGATTTAAGATTGCGACGTGGTAATTTTAACGTTGCATCTGCAGCATTGTTAGACATGCAACAGTGACGTCAATAGCTGGGGCTTCGGGTCGTGGGATTTGGACACCAAGACCTCGGGCTAAGAGACGAGGATACGCAGTTACCATGTTTATAGGCCTACACTTAACCTGTAAACCCTTCAGAGCCTGGGTTCGCTTTGGCCCTGGGAGTTCGCCCTCCCAAAAATACGAACACCTATCTGCACACCAACGTCAGGCCTGGGATGGCCTTGTAAGTCCCTCGTGTGATCCTGGAACCCACCTTGATGGTAAGGCAGCGCATGATAAACAACATAAGCCACTCTCAACATCCTGCAAGAGGAGCCTTCCTTTCCCCATCATAGTCATGAGCAGTGGAAGTAAGGTAGCAGCAGCACCATGAGGTCTTTTGCTTGCTGCTTGCAGTTACTCTCGTTGTTCTCTACTAGCGTGACAAGTCGCGACCCTGTTTGTTTATGGTGCCGCTCTCGTGACGACGAAGTCCTACTACTATACTATACTTGCACCATCGTCAAAAGCCAGGATGTCGCAGTCAGAGACGCTGGCTCTGACGACAGACCAGGCGCTATGACGCTGACCGAACAGGCTTCCATCCGCACCGCCAGAAACAGCAAAACATATATTCAAAGTAACTATACAAACCCCGCTTAATGTCATAACTTCCTTGAAGTTCGTTCCTCCACAAAGAACCCAGATTCCGGCGGTCAGAGGCACTACTGACCTTGCCCACAACATTCGCCACGAAGGTGAAGTGGCATTCTGCCAACCCCAGCCATTCTGGGTTCTTGCTAGCGACAGGGCTTCAGTACGTGAAGTGGCTGCCCCACTTCAAATTCCCTCACAAGAACCCCCGGCCTCGGAGGCCAAGGCGCGGCCAATCCTGGCTGCAGCATGAACAACTCGAAGGAAAAGCTGTCACGACACAAACTACGCACCGAAAGGCAGGGAGCCCTTATGACATGACCGAACCACGCAAACAACTGCTGACCTGCTAATTGCTTCAACGCACTCGCTCACTAGCCCTTCAGTTCGACCACTTCTAGAATTTGCTACGAGTCGCGTCCGTCGCAGCTGCACCAGCCTGGTTCCTATTAATTATAGTAATTCTTAAGGTTCCTATATTACATGAAGCACAAGATCGCCGAAGTCCAAGCGACATCGGCTGGTGCATTCCCTGCATCGGCTGCATGGGCATCTGCTGCATCGGCCTCGGCAGAGTGCCGAGGGTCGGAACCACAAGGGTTCAGGGTTTAGGGGTTTAGGGTTTAGGGTTTAGGGTGCAGAGAGAGTGTCTCATACCCTTTGATAAAGGAATCGGAATGGAATATCCCCCAAGTTACGGATTACTCCCTCGCAAAGGGCCCCAAACTCTAAACCCCAAGCCATAAACTTAAAACCCACACCCTAGACCCTACAGGGGCATTCGGCTCGCTGGATGATGTTAAAATTGAGGCTTCCTTTACAAGCCTTCGACGACTGGAAACAGGTGATACTCTGTGTTTCAGCACCGAAAAACATCGAAGACCCGAAACTACCCTAAACGGTGGAGGACGATGATCGTGGCCACATGAGGCATGTAGACAACTGGAGGGAACTGAGAAAAAAACATCGCCTATGGAGAGGGCATCTCAAAAATCTCCACAGAAGTTGGGCAGAACGTCAAATTCGAACCTTTCAGATTACGGCCTGTCAACTCCTATTCGGAACCTAAAGTTCGCAAAAATTCGCTCAGAAGTAATTCAAACAGGAACACCAAAGTAGTCTAAGAATTCCCTGTTGCTCTGATGTTCTGGAATTTAGGCGCTTCAGAAAACTATTATGTGTTCAACAGATCTTGCTGTTGGAAAACACCGCAGCCACCTTACATGTTGTCGAACCGCACGCAGTGCTCCCAAGTTTTCAGGTTTCATGCACATGCTCGTGCCAGCGTGCCTTTTGAAGGTTCCCGCTACCATCATATAACAGCTCAGCATGGCTGTGCGAGGCAGGGTTCATGCCTCAGGCATGCCTTGGCTTATTCGGGTTCAAGATTAACCTAGGCAAGCACCTGGCTGTGCAAGATGCAATCTGAATTCAGTTGGCCCTACCCAGGGCCCACGTGTAGCTTAAGATATTTATAGAACAACGACACGTCGCCTTCCCGGAGTCATGTTCCGATCATCAAGTGCCTAGTTTTGACTTCTCATGACTAGATGCGGGCATTCCGAAGGACTACACTGGAACAGCCTTTTGCCCCCCACAACCTGCGCTGCCTGCTGGGAAAACGGGCCCACAATGATACGAGACCCACTGATTGGCAGGGGCGTCTTGGAGAGCGACGGTATCCCGAAAGCTAGGATCATTCAGGCCAAACTGCAGAAAAAACCCAGCGGAGCTTGGCGACAAGCCTGCCAAGCGAGAAACCTTGGCGCAGGGGACGGGCAGTTGCAGAGCAACGACTTCACAATATTGGGCCATCTTGGCAAATCCATTCTTGAGGATCTTTTTTGGTTTGGCGGGAAAACTAGCCTGGGCACTGCAAAAGTTGGAGTTTGGCTATGGCCCTCAAGCCTGGGCTGTGTTGTGCTTCGGGTGTAAGGCCTCACGGGCGGAGCGCCATTGGGAGTCTTTTCAGTCGCACTATTGACTGAACCTTTTGCTCGCACCTCTCAGCTTGAAACCTCGGACCTTCGACTCCTTACTCCCATTTCTTGAGCTGATACAAGCAGACTCCAGAATAAGTCCTCAGGTTTGAATGGATGCGCTTCAGCAAAAATCGCTCCTCCATCATTTCCGTCAAGTTTTTCTTATCTTGCAGATTGCAAAGGATCGATGTTGGAACCTGGAATTTTGACGTCTGCTATGGTCTTTACCGAACCATCCTCCGCTTTGACTACATTACATGTGCCAACGGTGAAAACCTGGCCAGCTTACATTGTAAGGCTCGGACAGCAGCCGTCCATGGTGCGTGCTTCGGCTTTGAGTTTGAGCACACGCGGCAGATGTTTCGTTCAAAGATGCTCGTGCCATGAATTCACGGAAGTCTAGTTCACAGACGGACAAAGCTGGTACAGCTACTCCTGCTGATACACTGGCACACTGCCACTATCGCTATCGCTATTGCTTCTTCTCCCGCTGCCACCACCGCCACCAGCCATCATATGCTTTACGACCATTGTTTTGTTTCCAATTTACTTGTTCAAAGTGGCTCCCGAATTTCGCGTGACCTGCATGCCACAGCGTCTGACGTCAGTCTTTTCCCAAGCGATGCGGCGCTCGCGTGTCCACTGCAGAAGGCACGACCTGGCAGGGACTGTGAATCGCTTCGTCTCAGCGCACTTGGACTTAATGTGGCACCTGGAATCTCCAAATGAGGGGGCGTGCTTAGGATATATGTTGAGCCGGAATCGGCAAATGAGAGGGCAGTTTAAGACATATGATTCAAACGGAATCGCCAACTGAAGGGGCGTTAAGACATATGATGATCCGGAATCGCCACATGAGAGGGCGTGATTCAAACTCAAACATATGACAAATGGGAGCGGCTGCGCCCCCTCCCCCACCAACGTCCCCCCGCTTTTTTAAGCCGAGCAAGGTCGCCTTAAAGCATATGATTCTGTTTGAAACCCATCATGCGAGCCTCGTGTTTGCAAATGGGGGGGGGATGCGCCACTGGTTCCCAGACTTGTAGTCCATAAGTCTTCAAGGTCAGCGCTTGGAACTGCATCAGAAATACCATCGAGCAGATCCGTCGTGTCGACCGCAATGAATTGTCATGCCAGCTATTTGCACGTGCAAGTGCATCCGCCGTGGTGCTACGGAGTAGGAACAACGCCTCACACAGTAAAGATGCTCTCACATGCACGCCAGGTTTGCTGGATCTTCAAGCAAATGGCTCCGAGCATGCATCTGCGCAGAGCTCCCTTCCGTCACCTGGATGTGACTGTGTCATTATCCATATGTACGGGTGTCGTGGTGAGCACGACCAGCCCGCAAGAACCACACAAAAGTTCGGGTGGGAGGCGGGCGGGGTAGGCATGGTCACATTAGAGGGACGTACTTGAATACATATCTATATCTATCTATGCGTATATATATATATATACGTGATAATACACGAACTTCTAGTCTACTGTGCATACCATATCGCGATATGCATATTATGAGAAAACGCTTGAGGAGAGTGGCAAACGCTCAAAGTAGTTGTTGATCGTACTAAACAGTCCCGACGAGCCTATTTACGCCCCAAGCGCGCAAGGTCTGCATGTAAGCACAAAGGGGGCGAGGGAATGGAGCCGCGCGTGAAGGTCTCGAAGGGAAAAAGGGACACTTCTGATTTCGAGGATGTCTTGCATTGCTGCACATCAGATCAAGATTCTAGATCTTTTCGGCAGAAAGTTGTGAAGGCTACGGAAACCCCGTCCTGCGGCTGCTGAGCGATGAGCTCCCGCAGCCGTCAGACGCCGGCGGCCTGAAACAACAGTAGCACAACTCAAGTGATTGTGGTAGGCAAGTGGTAAGGATAGATCTTAATTCGAAGGGTTGTGCCAGGTCCATACGAATCCTCACATCGCCCTGCTTTTGCTGGATTTCACAGGATGGAAAATACGTGCGAACTGCAGGAACTCAATCGTGGGATGGCCGTCATGCGTCTAGACGGACACCTTACCGTCAACTCTCAGCGCGAAATTACAATGCCAAGTTCGTATACACCAAACCTTCCAAGCCGTGAAGTCAGCAGAGCGCGAGTCTTGATCAGTGTTGAGGCTGTAAGTTCTGTAGTATCTATCAATGAAGCAAGGATGAAGCTCTGAATGCAATAATATCGCAGGTTGAGAAGACTCATCACCTGCGCGGAACGCTGCTGGAATTTATCATCCCTCGGTAGTTGCATGGACTCGCAAGTGCACTTGAGCACGGGATCGCGATGATGCGACATCGGCCAACATGTGAACTCTCCGAGGATGTCCACCATTCATGTCCATCAGTGAGAAACGGCTATCAAACCGTGCTATGAACCTTCCTGCAATGCTGAGATGAACAGGAGCTGGTGGTTTGAAAATCTCAGGTGAGTGCTGGCACGCTCGCCAGCAGCCGCCGCACCAAAGTTGCCTGGGAAAGGGGGCTGGTAGCTTTGTTGGTGCTTGGCATAACCGCCGGCGTAGTGGTAATCACTTTGAGAAGTGGGCCGAGGTACCCCAAAACCTAAAGCCATACAACACAATGCCACCCGCTTCATGGCCTCCCCTAACTGCGTACAAGGGCACACCTAGAGGTTTTAGGTTTAGGGTTTTGGGGTTTAGGGAAAAAGGGAACCTAACAGTTGGCCGCCCAAGGATCAGGAAGCTGCAGGTGCACGCAAGGACTGCGGTGGAGTTCCAGGCCGTCGGCTTTGGCACCGAAGGGCTGCGTCCTGAGCTCGTCTTAACAGTTTGGGGTCAGGGCTCAGGGTTTAGGGGCTGTTGAGGTTTAGGGTGCAGAGTTTGGGGTTTGAGGTTTAGTTTAGGGTTCGGAACTTATGGATTAAGTACGGTCTACAAGGTTGTACGACTCTTGTTGTGCTCTTCTGAAGGAGCTTACGGGCTTTCCACAAAGAGTTCTACAGAGCTCAAGAAGAGCCCAGGATCACCCTCGAAGTTCGAGGCATGCCGCAACTCGACCATTTCCGCCATCGTCGGCGACAAGAGGGCCTTCTCCCTGCTGCTTGAACGCCTAAACCCCAAGCCCCAAACGCCCAAACCGCCAACCCTAAAAGTAGGCCTGAGTCCGCCCGTGAAGGAATTTGGCCTAAGGCGAAGCTTAAGCTCAAATGACCTGCATTTCTAAGGACTTCTTAGAAAGACATCGTCATACTAAGGACCCTAAACCCTTAACCCTAAACCCTGCTCTGAAACCCTGAACCTAAAAGGTTTTCGGGTGGAGGGCCAAGGGCTGAGGCCTCTGGCACCCCAGAGCCCATGCTGGAGCCTGGGGCCTGCGGAGATCGGCGTGAAAGGATTGCCATCGGAAAAGTAATGTAGGGGCCCTGAAAATTAGAATAGGATTTTGGGGCCCATTATACTACAATTATAATAAGAAACTTTACAACAGTATTGCTAAGTATTGAGGCACCTATGTTAGGGTTAAAGCTGAGGGTGGGGTTTAAGGTTGAGGGCTTGGCGATTGAAACTCAGGGCTTAAGATGTCAAGCTTGAGGAGTGCAGGGCCTTCTTGTAGGGTTTCGAAATCTCCCTAGACCCTAAACCCCCCTGAGGTTTCACGGGGAATCCCAGAAATGCATTGTGGGCATGCCGGCGCCGCAGTCGAGGGGCGTACATCTGCACATCATATAGGGGCCTCAATAATAAAAATAGGGTTTAGGGTTTAGGGTACCTGTGCACATAATATAGGGGCCTGAATAATTGAAATAAGGTTCTGGGGCCCATTCTACTATAATTTTCACAAGGAACCCCCAACATAATATAGGTAATTATTCAGGCCCCTATATTATTCTACAACATGCAGCACACAAAATGGCGGCTCCTACACGGGGTTGAGCAGGTGAAGGCTCAGGGAATCAGTGTGTTGAGAAATGATAACTCGCAAAACCTTTCAGATTGTACATGCCCCACTGCGAAATTGGGTGCTCAG